GAGATTTTAGAGTGACAGACTAAAATTCCCAATTTGATCCTATCATTTGGGTGTTGAAGTGTAGATGTTAGCCCTCAGGTGACGGGAACGTGGGAGCTCCAAAGTGAGAACCGGTATCCTCCCAGCCTAGCCGCAGATTCAGTAAACAAGCGTAGGATTAGTCAATATTCTTTATGCCTGGACCAAAGGGTAAAAAATATGTATGCTCCTATTTGACACAATACAAATTGAACTGATTCACTTTATCCATTCACTATAATTTATTGACAAGGAGAATGATGCTTTCTTATATATTGAATATCATATTAAAAACCTCATTAGTATAATTAGTTATTTAAGAGTTATTGAAATTACATATTTATTTCAATTATCTATTAGTGACAGATAAACAAATTGAATTTCATTGTTGCAATTGAGTATTGTTTTTTCTAATATCTTAGTTCGTAGTTCTAATATTACTCCATGTGGGATCGATACCTATGACTCCATTAGAGCCCTATATTACTTGAGCGATACGTATACTTGCGTTGATAAGTGTGACTTTACAATTATTGAATATTTTATACATCCATATCTTTATCAAATCTATAACTGTTATTAAGTTTTGGTACAGTTGCTGAAGAATTAAATATTTTAGCAGCAGTATTAAATATTTATATTTTTAAGCATATATAAAGTCGTTGTCATGAAGTTAATGGCATCGGGGTAGAGGCCCGCAAAGATGCATCAACTGCAATGCTAGTTGTGGAGACTTAAACCACCCCTTCTTTGAGGAGGGAGACCATCCCTACCTCCATAAGTCATCTACAATAAAGAAAGGAAAAGCAATTAGTGTACATAACTTTAAACAAAAGTAAGATTATAATATTAAGTATAATCTATAAACTATTGAAATTGAAAACACAAAACCACATAGTAAACAAATATTAAGACTATAAAGTACAATATACAAATTAATTTTTTTAGCATCAAATTTTGTAAGAATATATGACTGTCATGGCTTTTTATTTTAAATATTTTTCTTACTCCAACATCAACACAACAAACTTAAATTTGAAGCATATCCGATAAGAAATTTTAATGATTGGTACCACAAATAAATTATCCTTTATTGTGCCAAAGTAAGATATTATTTTGCTTTATGCTTTATAAGCTTGCTAGTATTAGTTTCTTTGATCTCTAACTCCCATCATTTACAAATCTCCCTCAAATCTAGTCTAACATTCATGTTATCCTTAGTTCTATCCTTAACATCCTTTATATTGTTGAAGATAGTTTTAAAGAAAGTTTTCTCTATGTGCATGATATCAAAATTATTCTAGTATGAAAGATCCCAAAAAAATGGACATTTTTTCAATTTATGACTAACACCAAAGTCTGGTAAATGATGTGAAGAAATTTCAAGACAATCAGTAATCTTTTGAATGTCACTAATAATTTAGAACAAAATCATCCCCAACCACAATTGGAGATGGCGAGGATTTCTCAACTTCATTTCTTCTGAATGCATTCTTCTTCACCTTAAACAACTGAAAGGTTGTTTAAATTTTAAAAAAAAAACATCGATGGCAAACAAACCATGAATTCTTTCTATCATATTGACGCATAATTACCTTGACTAAATTCATGCAATATGGAAAAACCAACTTTATAGAAGTGGTCCATCCAAATAATGTTTCGTACAAAGAACAATTACTTATTAGCCACATTAATGCCACTTTTATTAAAAAAAATATGTTTCATGGAAATTTCATATGTCATAGTACCTGTATCACAAATAATCTGTAGGTCATTTATCAACAACTATAAATACACATAAATCATTCCTTTTGTGCTACTAGAAACTGGAAGATCGCTAACAAATAAGAGTAGGGCGCACTGATCTAATTATATGGTGCGAAGCCATCCGAGTATAAGCAAAACCTAACATTGTGTGCCTTCACTACAAATTTATGATATGTGCTATCAAAATGTTTTCGTGCTTCTTCATCTGTTAGATGACTCGTTGAATTGATTTCTCCTGATCTGCTATGATGACATGTCATATGTGGAGCAGTACACATAGAAGTAAATAGTTTGTGAAGACATGGAATAAGTAATAGATAGAAAAGATGCTTATATGAAACCAAGTTCTGTCTTATACTTTTTTTATTATGAGGTTTGAATATAGGAGAATGACATAATCGATGCAGAGTCTTTGTTTATTAAACTTGTAGAATAATATGCATCTGTTTATAACCACCCTTATTTAAGTAATCATATCAACATCTATATGTTGCTTCATCCAACAGGTCTTGGGCAAAGGTGTTCATTCATTCAATTTAGTTTCATTTAAATGCTAGCTACACTAGTTAACTTCAAGTCTACAATCCAAAAATTTTAGCTGACCAAACAATTTTTTGAGCTAAACCAACATGAATCAAACCATTGTTTGCCAAATAAAATTTAGTTGTAGACAAACCAAAATTATATGCACTTCTTCAATGAATTGAACAAGGTTAATTGTTCAATAGCTTGCCAAAGAAGAAAGACAAAAAAAAATGAACTAATAATCTTTTGAGGACAAAAAGAAATCAATTCATGCTAAACGGCTTTATTTCATTTAATTTCAGTCCAAATTCAATCCAAGCGTTGAATACTCTTCAATCATCATTCAAATTCACAATCATAGACTTATTTTCAACCTAAAGTATGGTTAGCATAATGTAAACATCCCTCATGCCTGCAAAAAAAAAATCCTAACCATTTAAATATAAAATACATCAATCATATCATGTATCAAAATCCTCAAACGAGGCTTCGTTCCCTGCCAGTATTTTGAGAACCATCCATTTCCCTTGCAATGATTCATTCTGTGTTAATTAATCAACACCCAAAAAGAATGACCAGCACAAATGTATATAAAGTCTTAGCTCCGAAAAATCACATTTGTCTTCCTCCCCTTAATCTTCTCAACAAAAACCTTCGTCCTCCTCAACGCAACTTCCAGCGTCTCCTCAGTCATATTTGCAAAACAAACCCTGAACCACCCCGGCTCTGCACAGTAACATGAACTCCCAGGCGACACATTAAGCTTCACTTCACTCAAAATCATCTTCCATAGCCTCAGCTCCCCCTCCATTGATTTCTCCTCAAGCATCTGCGTCAAATTCATCCAACAAAACAGCCCAGCATTCCCTTCCAAACACTCTATCCCTGCATCCTTCAGTCCCTCAACAATGTAACCATGTCTTCTCCTCAATCTCTCCCTGTTTGTCTTAATATATTTTACTGTAAACTCCTCATCTGATAACATAGAAGCCAACATCTTCTGCGTCTGTGAAGAAACAAGGCTGAAACTTGACATTCTTCTAGCAGTGGTCACGACTCTATCATTGTAAGAGTAAATAGTCCCAACTCTGAAGCCGGGCAAACCAAGGTCTTTGGATAAACTGTACACGATATGGACTCCATCACAGTTTTTGTGCTGGCGGGTTTCGACGACTTCGGCCACGCTTATGAATTCCGGCGAGGAGAAGACGGATCCGGAGTAGATTTCATCGGAGATTAAATGGATGTTTTTTTGTGATATGAAGTTGAGTATGTCTTCCAGGAGGGAGCGGGGCATGGTGGTGCCTAATGGGTTGGATGGGTTGGTGATTAGGAGAGCTTTGACACGGAGGTTGGACGCTTCGGCGATGGAGTAAGCAGATTGGAGGGAGTGGAGTGTGAGTTGGAAGCCATTAGAGCTGTGGCAATGGACGGGGAAGATCTTGACTCCTGTTCTCCATTGGAGGTCTCGGTCGAACCTGTTGACATGATTTTGAAATATTTAGGTGCAGATTTAAGTTATTAGGATCTTAAGTTTCAATTTACCAAAATTTGAATGCATTTAATTGTCTAGCAACCAATTTACTAAACTCTGTACATCATGTATATCTTGCCTTAAGGGTTGGAGGAGTTTTTAATGCTATGTAGTCTTTGGTAATGTGATAGTTACCCAGGGTAGTATGGGGTGGGCACAAGGACGGCATCGCCGGGGTCAGCTAAGATGAAGGTAAGGAGCTCGTTGGCGGCGGTGGCGCCGGCGGTCAGAACCATTCGATCAGGGTTGAATTTGACACGTTTGCCTCTTATTTGTTCCATGAAGCTTGCCATTGCCTGAGTATAGTTAAATTTGTGTCAGATTGGCGGGTTGAGTAAAATTGTTCTGTTTTTTTTGCTTGTTTGATTATATGAAGAAGGCTGGATTGATACAAACCAATAGATTGATAAAAAATCTATGAGAAATTTCTCATAGTTCCATGCTATAAGAAAATTTAAATTAGTAGAAGAGATTCAATTTTTTGAGTTTACAGGAATATTGGAGCATGTAAGCCTAAAAACTTCAGCTGATTTTTGTTTTAAAGTAATTTCACCTGATTTTTGACACATGCATGTGGTCAATTGCTTATAAGACAAGTTTCCTATAGATTTGTTATGCAGAATCACTAACAAATTCTATTAGTTTAATACTCTTATATTTTGATAAGAAAAATTTTTATTTGGCAGATACTTACAAATATGAATGTTTAGAAACAAAAAGCAGCACATAATTTTTTGAGATATTCCTTTATATGACTTTTATACCACGTTAAAAGGAAAAGAAGCATGATGAGAATATGATTTTGTAGGGTCACCTTTCTGAAACTTTGGAGGCCATGATAGTCCTGGAATAAGGCATTTTCTTTGAAACCAGAGATTCCAGAGCTCCAACTTGCTGTCTCAGGGTGCTGCTCAAGGTAATCCTCTAGCAAATCAAATGAGACCTGTCACCAAAAACAAAGCATTACATTTCAACAAAGCTTTGTTGATTATTTTAACATCTAAAAACCATTCCTCTAACTTAGTTAAATTCAAAGAAAATTATGCCAGAGTATTGTGATCAAATTTATATCTAATAGCTTTGTAACTACTTGATAAAATTTATTTTTGATCAAATATTCTGGCTAGCTATATATATCTAGATTTGCAAATATAGATATCTTTAAATCTTCCATTCTGTAACCTGATTTTCAGCCAATCCCATCTGAATGACTCCTGTGGGATTTGCAACAGGATCATAAGGGTCTTCGTCATAAGCTTTCCAGCCAGCAAAGTATGGGGAATCCTCTCCATGGGCCTTTGAGACTGCAATCTTTGATAATGGAGCTCCGAGCCCTATTCCTCTTGCCATCTAAATAGAATTCTTTTGTCCCTCTCCCTCTCCCTCCCTCTCCCTCTCTTTCTCCCTCTCACACACACACAGAAACACACACCTTTGAATTAACTTATAAGAGGATTTGAAGAGACAAAAGCTCAAAAGCAAGTGATTTGCTGAGTTGGTTCTTAGACTTCCTTTATTTATAGGGCCCAATCCGTGAGGTCACAACTTTTGGATGGAAATTATATAAAAATGGAAGAAAGCTAATGATTGTCTCTGGGTTTGGTCTCTGGGTTTGAGCAGAATCAAGCTCCCGCTTTTAAAAGCAGTTTTATCAATGAAGACAGCTGTTAACACATTTGTCATACGTTGGCCGGTTCCCCTGAGCCCCATCTCTGTTAGGCCAACACTAATCCAACTTATTTAATTTAATCAGCTTTCCATGTAATTATTTGAAAATTTAAAATAATCCCTTATTTTAGCCAAACACTTGCTAGGATTACTCAGCCTATATGTAGGCTATCAAGCGTACAGCGAGAGAGGTTTTTGTTTCGTTGCAGAGCTTTTAAAGGCAAAGAGATCTCAAGAGGTCATAGGAGATCATATGTGAAGAATAATTGGAACTTGGTTGGTGAGGAGATTTTAAATGAGCATGCGCACAAATTTTTAGTAGGTCAGTTTTACATTATTCTGCATTATTTTTATCATTATATTAGCATAAATAAATAAAAAAATAATCAATTTATGTTCATAGGGCGAAGAAAACCTTAGGGCGAAGAAAACCAAGAATCGACACAAATCCAAAAGAACACACAGAGATTTAACGAGGTTCGGCAAAGATGTCTACGTCATCGGGAGCAGAGCGGTGACTTTCTTTCAATTCTAGAAAAGAATACAAGCTACAGAATAAGATCTACGATTACATACAAACTTATTTATAACCCTAGAAAATCCTGGAGTATAATATATAATTATCAAATTATCCCTATACCGCACCCCCAACCCACGTAAGGAAACTCCCCCAATTTGGACAGATTATTCCGCTCCGCTTCATTCCAGCATCTGTCCCTTAAATGGTATATGAGTCATACCATAACAATTTACATTATTGATAAAATATTTAAGAGAATTATTTGCTTAGGCATAACCTTTTCATGGGTTGGTGGTACTTTTCTTAATTAAGTCAAGAAAAGGCAGGTTTTGGAATTTTTGAAGGTTATTGTAGTAAGTCTGACCTTCGAGTGAACACTTAGGCGCCCACAGATTCACTGCCCACAGCATAAGAAAAAAAATGTGCTTCATGAGTAATTAAACTTGAGGAAAGCAATGATAATTTTCAAATATTTTACACTTTTATCTTATTTAAATAAGTTTGGGAAGCTGAATTTGATCTAAACTATCTTATTTGCTTGCTGCCCCACACTGAAGGGCTGTCATATTTTCTTCATCTTCTTGGCATTTTGCTCTATTTTTTTGAACATTTGATTCTGTTTATCGCTTATCTGTTGGTTCTATGTCGTTGCTCCCGCTGAAAGATTAGAACTTACAACAAGCATTTATAATTTTGCAAGAAATTTAAATAAATTGCAAATATAAATGAAGGTGTAGCTACCAAACCCTAAGACCATACTTGGTCAGTCCCTAAAGGTTTTAATGAATGGCCTTCTGAATAAAGTATAATAAGTTCAATTATCCTTTAAAACATCCAAAAGGTTATAAAAGCGTATGAGGGATAATCCCTGATGAATTTTAAATTATTTTTGAAGTATTTCGAGTTTGTTTGAACTTATTATATTGTTCAATTGATCATTTCAAATTTTAGATTCAGCTGCAATGAGTTACTACACCTTATGCTCAGTGAACCTGATATTTTAATTATCCTAAGAGTGAGGTACTCAATTAATCAGTTGATTTTTACTTAAAAGTTATGTAAGTGGATGTCTCTAAGGTAAGCTTAAGTCATTAAAGATTTTGTACCCACCACTAAATTTGGGCTTTGTAGTATTTAAAGGTGTTAATTATCAATCATCTTATCTTTTCTAAACCTCATTAAACAAGTTTAAGTTTAGCCTAGCTCACTACAAAGTCCTTACTATTTTTCATGGGTGAATTAAAATTTTAATTGAAGTCATATGAGTTCTTATCAAAAGATCATATGATCACCAATTGTGGGCTTAAAATAAGTGAATTATTATCTTCCTAGCCTAATCCCATCACCTTAGAATTATCCAATTTTAATTAACTTCTAAATTCTGATAATTTAGGAAATTACAATTTTACCTTATTCATGAAAAGTTGACAAATTGATTTCTACCTTTTATCCTATTATGTTTCAAGCATCCAAAAGAATTCATTAAGATCAAAATTATCCATTTTTCCTTTGGTTGATCCTAAATTTTGATTAAGTCACCAAAAAGCTAAAATAATCATTTTGCCACATTGGCTCTCTACTCCATAACTTATTAAGTATAATTCAAATGATTTTGAAATTTTTAGAGTACCTCATTCATGGGTCAATTAGAATATCAGAGGAGAAAATGTGGTTTTTCTAAATTTAATTTAATTTAAATAATTATTTTAATTTAGAAAATATGATTTTCAATTTTAATTTATTTAACTAATAAAAATAAAGTTTTTGGTCATGAGAAAATTATTAGAGGTTTACTTGGTCAGAGGACCACTTGGAGAAAATTTTATAAATTTCAAATTTTATTTTAATTATTTTAATTATTTATTGATTTTAATGATTTAATAAAATAGAAAATATGTTTAAATCACAAAAATTAATTTTTATATTTTTAATAAATCTCTCTGAGTCCAAAAAACTTAGAGAAACAAACTTTTTATTTTTGTGATTTTTAATTTATTTATTATAATTATTTTAATAAAAAATTAGAGAAAAATGTATTTTTAGCCTTTAAAAATTCATATTTAACATATAAAAATTAGAAAAAATAATATAATGAGTCCCAAGTTATAAGAAAGTAATTAAGAACATTTTGAACCATTCTTTTATTTTTGAAATTTTTAATTATTTTTATTTATTTTAATTCAAAAATAGGCTTGAAAATAAAATAGAAAATATGTTTTAATTACGAAAATTACTTTTTATATGTTTAATAAATCTCTCTAAGTCCAGAAAACTTAGAAAAACAAACTTTTTATTTTTGTGATTTTTAATTTATTTATTATAATTATTTTAATAGAAAATTAGAGAAAAAATGTAGTTTTAGCCTTTAAAAATTCATATTTAACTTATAAATATTAGGAAAAATATTTTAATGAGTCCCAAGTGATAAGGAAGTAATTAATAACATTTTGAACTATTCTTTTATTTTTGAAATTTTTAATTATTTTTATTTATTTTTAATTCAAAAATAGGCTTGAAAATATTGTATTTATTTAAAAATAATTTTTGATTTTACATAAGTGCTCCTGATTACAAGAGACTCAGAAAACTACTTTTCATAATTTTATTATTTATATTTAATTTATTATAATTATTTTAATGTTAAAAATAACATTTTTCTTGAAAAATCAACTTTAGTAATAAAAATTAATCAAATAACTTTCAAATTTTTACAATTATTTAAAATAAGTATTATTTACGGTGTGGAATATTTTTTGATAATTTTTAAAATATATTAAACTTATTTTAATTTTTATGAATTTTTAGGATTTAATTAACTATAGTTATTTATACAAATGTTAAAATTTAACTTGTATTTTTTTGATTTATAATTTAATTCATAATAAATCCCACAATTTTTTGATTTATAATTTAATTTATATATTTATTTTAAACAAAATAACCATCCAAACTTAGAAATTAGGTTTACATGTGTAGAGATACTTTCGGACTTTGTAAAAATCCTAAACATCTCCGTCATGGTGAATAAACCCCTAAAATCCTAAGCCATGATTATTATTATATACTTCATTAAAAATAAAACATTACAGAGGCTATTTAATTAATTAAAAATCAGTGACACACTAAATAATTTTTATTTTTATTCCACATTAATCCCATCTATTCACTGAGTAATAGAGTATTTTTATTTTATTTTTGTAAATTTTCTACACCAAGATATATATTTTTGAAGCTCTGAAATTTAAATGAATAAAAAATAATTAATTTCTACTTAACCAAGTCAGGAGCCACGCAATCCTACGGTGTTATGAACTTTCCACACGGTGCTCCTCCATTCAACGCGATCATCTGACTCGGCCGCGATTATCATCTCTTCGTATCGTCCGACACAATTACAGCCTTCCAACTGATACACATGCGATCCAACGACTCTCCACCATCGTCCCCGATTAACTTAACCCGAGAACAGTTCGACTTATAGACCCAAGATCTCGCTCGATACTTAACCAAATCAACTGCGGTTTGTTCCTGCACCTTCATCTACTCGAGACGAACACTTCCATACAGTTACAATGCTATGAAATACAAGTTTCTTTCACAATTGGTGAAATCGAGCTCAAAACTAGGGTTAGTGAGTTATTCCTTCGCCCAAGAGGTGAGGCCAATATTGGGTTGTTGTGGAAGCTTTAGTGGAGCCTTGAGAACCTTCTGGATGTTTCACCTTGCTCTATTATGAGGTCCAAGTAGGAGTTCGACCAACAGGTGGTGAGACCTTGATCAAACTGTGGGTTGGAGGGCTCAAAGTGATGGGGTTTGAGTGGGAAACTTCTTCTTAAGCTCAGGTGAAGCTTAAGAGCACTTCAGTTTGGACTTTAGTGGAGTTTTGTGAAGGGACTGAAAAATGCCCTGGATTTCAAGTGAGAAATTGGGCTTTGACAGTGCAAATAGAGGGCTGATTGTTGTGGGATTGAGTTAGGAAAGCTTGAAGAGGCTCTGGAATGATTTTGGCAGAGTTTTCCCAAGGAATTGGATGTCCTCCTTTTCTTGGCCATGGAAGGTGGGGTTTAAATAGAGGAGGAAAGAGAGGCCACCTTGGCTAGCCAGTGGGTGCAAGAAGTTGCTTAGTTGGAGGTTAGAGTGGAATCAATGACCAATGGGGATGAGCCAACTCAAGGAGTTCAAATTTTGAGTTTTGGCCTGGGGGTGCCTCTCGGTTTTGGTGTTTTCCGGCTAGTAGGTCGACCGACAAGGTTAGGGCAAGCGGTCAGGTGAGCCAGTGGGAGG